CCTTCCACTTCTCGTCGAGGGTTTCGGGGAGCTGCGGCCGAAGCGAGTCTGTGATGGACAGACACCGCACACGGGGTGGAGATAGTGGTATCAGATACTTCACATCCCACGGCCGTCTGCCGGCGCTCTCGGGATCACGGACGTGAGGGTGAGAGGGAGACGCACTGGTGATGGCGTAGGACGCGTAGATGTGGGGCTCCATGCCCTGATACGGATCCTCGCCCGTCATGAGCTCTGAATGTGACCGTGACCGTGACCGAGACCAAAGCCATACGTAGGTGTTTGAACAAATCAGAAGATGAGCTCGGCATATCGGCGTCAATGCCGTAAAACGAGTGGCGTGTTGATGCTACGATACCGGCCAGGCAGATGGCGTAGCTGTAGACGTCGGCTTTCTCGGTGTAGGTCTGTCCAATGTAGACTTCGGGTGCCTGGAAGCACGCACGCGTCACTCACATGTGAGCGCGAGCCAAGCCAACATTTACGCGTAAAAGGACGAGAGGGAGCGTGTAACCATCCATGCCAGCGCGCCGACCGCACACGTCATCTTGCTCCCCGTCTCGTCCATGAACCTGCATTGGGTGCGCGTCGTCGTGCGAATAGTGAGCATGCCCGGGTGAGGCATCGAGCTCTTGCAAGAGACGAGATTGGTGAGCGCAGTACCGCGAGAGCCCGAAATCGCCGACCTTGGCCACGGTGCAATCGGCATCGAGCAGGATATTGCTCGACGATAGGTCCCTGGGTCATTGTGTGTGGCGGCACCGGTGAGGCCTCGATCGAACGATGCGCGAGCACGAGCACGAAAAGCATTTGCGCCACCACGAGGTACCTGTGGATGATCTTGGGCTTGTGGTGGTGCAGGTAGTTCACGCCCATGGCCACGTCTTTGGCGATCTTCCTCCTCTTGGCCTCCGTGATTGTGTTGCGCGACATGTCGAGCAGACGACGCAGGGATCCGCCCGCCATATACTCTGAATAACCATTTATCACAGAGCACGTCATTCACCACAAAACCCACGCACGCACGCACACGCACACACACGCACACGCACGCACGCACGACGCTGCACACGCGCGCGTAGACAGAAGGTACCTGTCACGATGCAGTGCTCTCCCTTGGGTGAGATGGAGGCGCCGAGGAACTTGAGAATGTTGGGATGGTCCAGTTCACTGAAGGTACGACCACCGACCGCGAGACATGAGGAAAAGGAACCGCCCCCAGCTAGCTGTAGTTGGTACGCGTAGTACGCGGGGTGAACACGAACCAAAACACAGAGGTCTCGTTGATGAAGAGCTGAGCCTCGCTGCTGTGCCTGAACCCGCGGCGCACCATTCGCTTGATCGCCACCTCTTGACCTCCCAACTGACCTGTCGTGTCGTGTCGTGTCGTTGGTCGCGTGTGCGTGTGCGTGTGCGTGTGCGTGTCGTGTCAGCATCGCAAGCAGGTGCGAGTGCGGTCGAGCGATGATCGACGTATACCCTTGTAGACTTTGCCAAAGAAGCCGGAGCCGAGGAGCTGGCCGAAGGTGAGATCGGCGAAGGGCACCTGGGCGATCCGCGTGAGGTACTGCTCCTCGAGAGGCGTCACCGCCGGCGGAGGCGGCCGCAGGTGCTGGTGGTAGTCCACGCGTTGAGGCGCGGGTGGTGCCGGCGTGATTGCGTCCTCGAGGCTGCTACGATACTGGGGCGTGCTGTGGTTCGTCTTTGTGGTTCTGAGCTCGCGCCGCCGCTTCCTGGGCGGTTCATCTTCACCTTCTCCGCCTGCGCTGGCAGCTCCTTCTTCATCTTCATCAATGGCATTATCGTGCGTGTAGTAGACGTCGAATCGCGGTCGGGTGCGTGGCCGAGGGGGCGATTCGCCCGATTTGTTGGCCAGAGCCGCTGAACGAGATGGGACAGATGAGGAAGAGATATCTTCGATGTAACCTTGATTCATTCGCGATGGTGGCACCACATTCCCTGTGGATGCCGACTCTTCTGTTGCCAGCTGTTCAGGGTACCCTTTCCTGTCAGGCCGACCCGCTCTTGGCCCTTCCATCTGTATTTCTTTTTCTTTTTCGTTTTTCTTTTTCTTTTCCACGAGAAAAAGGATAAAATATTTACAATGCCTCGAATTCCTGTGTACAACGCACCTGCGGTCTCACAGGATGATGACGGCGACGACCACGATGACGACAATCACGATGACGACGATGAGGCCGATGGTGAGGAAGGTCATCAGCTTCTTCCTACGAATCTGCTGCACGATCACCCTCGTCTCCGCCAGCTCCTGGGTAGCTGCGCACCAAAGAAGAAGGTCATCAGCATCAGCCACGCACACGCACCACATGTATGATGAGGAGGGGTTGGTGTTGGTACCCAAGTTCACCTTGGCCTTTCCCTCTTCGACATTCATCTCGATCTGGTCCAGCAGCTCGTTGTGGTACTCGACCAGCTGGCCGATGTCCTGCATGATGCCGTTGAGCTCGACCAGGTCCTTCTCGATCTTGGCGATGTCGCGGTGCTTCTCTTTGAGGTGATCACGCGCGCGCTGGGCGTCCTCCTTGAACACGTAGCGCTTGAAAAAGGTGTCCGTGTTCATGTTGGCGTCGTAGCGGTACTCCGACTCCACCTCCTGCTCGTCCGCCACCTCATCCAGGTGTCGTGCGATGCGCTCCTTCATGTCCGACTCATGTTGCACCAGCACCTGCACACGACACACCACACACAACACACGAACACACGACACGATCAGCAAAGAACGAAAAGCGAAGAAACAGAAAGAAAGAGACGAACGAAGAAGAATGAAGCAGTCTCTACCTCCTTGTAGCGGTTGGTTTGCACGACGAGCTCGTTGATGAGTGTGGCCAGAATCTTGCCCTTCACCTCTGCAAGGGACCCTGCTGGTTCTTGTCGTTGTTCTGGTGGGCCAGGATCTTGCGTCGGATGAGGCCCGCCACCTCGTCCACCTTGGCCTTCAACTCATCAAAGGCGACCTCTGATTTCGGATTGTAGACCTTCTCGGCGCAGATGGCGCGCATCTTGCGCACCTTGGCGCTCATCTCATCGAAGAGCGGTCGCACATCCTCCACCTGTCTGGAGAATCGCTCGAATTCGTCCACCTCCTCTCGCGACGCCTTGATCTTCATCTTGATCTCCTTCTGCTGCGTGATGCGACGAGGAGAGCCCTGGTCCTGGTCCTGCCCTTCTTCGAGGTCTGGCGCGTCCTCCACCATCGCCGGCTGCTTCACCTCCACCTTCTTCGTGCTTTTCAATTTCATCTTCTCCTTTCGTCGCTTACCAATCCAATCTCACGTCGCCTTCTTTGCTTGTTGTTGTGGATGTTGTGTTGTTGACTGTACGACCGAACCGAGGTCGGGCAATAGGCCAGGGTTCTTCATCTTGGAGCTCCTCGCTTCCCGCTCGGCGTGGCTTGGGCGTGAATGAAATACGCGAAAACCGCCGCAGAAGCTCTCATTTTGTCCGCCGCTCCGCCGACTTCGGCCGAATAGCCACACAGGCAGTACCTCCGGTTAGGAATGCCTGAGAAGAACATCACAGAGGCGTAGCGGGATCTGACCCACTCGTGCTGTAGAGCAGGGCTCCTTTTTCTTTGAGAAAGGTTCAAGAAGTTTGGCCCAGCAGAACTCTAAGTTTGGGCGTGGGCGGAAGCAACTTCGATAAGATTTAAGTCCATTTTGTCGAAGAGGTGATTTTTGTTCTGAACCGGACTGAAGAGCACTCAGTCGCAGGGTCGCCACGAAGCAAAGGAGGTAAGATGGTTTCATGGTGTAGTGGTATCACGTCTGCCTCACACGCAGTAGGTCCTGGGTTCGAACCCCAGTGAAACCAATCTTTTGTTTTACTGCAGCAATTGAGTTGTTTTGATGTAATGGCACATTCACCCTTGTCTGTTAGTGTTTCCACTTGCCTGTGTACACAATGGAAGTTTTATGAAATCTGTTTCAACTCAAGTCCCTCAATATCACTTATAAGCAGTGGCATAGCATGTTGAAATCAAAGATTCAGATCCCCCCATTGTGTTATTGTTCTTCATCTGAAAATTCCCCACATAAAGACACAGTTGCCCTGGCACCAGAGTTGTGAAGGCATCACACACTGTTTGTGATGGTCTTGTTGAATTGTTCAACTAGGCCATTGTACTCAGGCATGCAAGCAGGAGTTGTGTTATGTGCAATCCCAGCTGTGCATAAAAGCTCCTGCACTTTAAAGTGCTTGATGGCCAGGTCACATCTGGGCACAATGATGTTGAAACTTGTGGTCATTTGAAATGAGGTCACAAATGACTGTGGAAATTTTGTTGTGCTAAAATTGTGTGAGATTTGACATTTTTGATTTATAGGGCAGTTTTGAAGATTTGAATCTGAATCTTTGATTTTGATATGCTAGACTGCTGCTGATACGTGCTATTGAGGGACTTGAGATGAAAATGATTTCCTAAACACTTGGAATGTGTGGAGTTAAAAGTGATTTTATCAGTGTGAGATGGAGCTTTGTTGTGGTGAAATTTTATCTTCAGGAATAGTGCTCCAATTCAGCCCAAATAGCATGTTGGCCACTGATGATGGAATTGATGGAGGGTATGAAAGCAAAGGCAAGGTGCATTTTGAAGTTGTTCAGAGGACACAAAACAAGCTAGGTTCAGATTTTGAGTGTACACATGCATGATAGAATGTTTGCTAATTGATCTCCTCCTTGCCCCACAGATCATGTAAAAATGCTGCAACAATTTGATATCAACTGAATGACAAAGAGCAGCTCCAGGCCTCCCTCGACTGCCCCATTGTGTACACAGACAAGTGGAAACACTAACAGACAAGGGTGAATGTGCCATTAGATCAAAACAACTCAATTGCTGCAGTAAAACAAAAGATTGGTTTCACTGGGGTTCGAACCCAGGACCTACTGCGTGTGAGGCAGACGTGATACCACTACACCATGAAACCATCTTACCTCCTTTGCTTCGTGGCGACCCTGCGACTGAGTGCTCTCCAGTCCGGTTTGCGTCATCGAACAGAACAGAACAAAAATCACCTCTTCCCCCCACAATAACAACAAAATGGAGCCCGACAACGGACAGACCACCGATGCGGGCCAGGTGTCCGCAGAGGTGAGCCACGGCCTGCAGGCCATCCAAGCGTTCCAGACGCAACACAGTACCTACCCAAACCCTGCCTCTATTTATTTTATTTAATAGCAATTTAAATAAATAATTAGTTTTATGTATAATTCGTTATTTTCTTGCAGATGCGCGGGCCTACCTGCCAGGACCCTCGCTGGCCGACTCCGTGTCCACGGCCTTCTACTTCCACTTTCGTCTGCCCTACTTCGGGCAGCGTGGCTTCCGGAGGCGGCCGGAGGTGGAGGGCGACGAGGTCACCGTGGCCGAAGGCGTCGAGGAGGGCGCCGGCCACTACGTGTGGCTCACCTACGGCCAGGTGTGGCGCTACTTCACCTCCTTCGGGTCTGGCCTGGCCCAGTTCGTACACAAGGTGCCCCGCCTCTCTGCGTCGTGTGCATTGACTGCAGTTATGTTAACCCGGCTCACATTCTGCTGCTCTCTTGCCAGAACGACTTTGTAGGGATATGCGGCAGGAACAGCATCGAGTGGGCAGTTGCAGGTACGCTTGGTGTGCCACACTCTATGTGAAGTGTGCGTGTGTGTGTGTGCGTGCGTGCGTGTGCGGTGTGTTGTGTGCTAACCATGCAGCACACACAGATCTGGCGTGCATCTACCAGTCATTTGCAAGCGTCCCGCTGCACACGATATTGGGTACAACACCTCCGGACCCTCTTTGTCTGCAATGACGCTCACAAGTTTCTTACCTCTACCGACTTGCGTTGTGAGCAGACGACGAATCGCTCGAATTCATTTTGAACCAAACCGAAATGCGCTGCGTCGTTTGCGAACACTCACAGCTTCCCAAGGTTGGTTTACGCCCAACATGCGTGTGTCGTGCGGTCGTGTCGTGTCGTGTGCCTCGGTGTGTTGGAGTGTTCCTCAACTGCGTGTGCCCGGTCGGGTGTGTTCGTTCGATCAGCTGGGCCGCGTGATCGGCAAGTGCCCCTATTTGAAGCACGTTGTCGTGATGACGCCGCCCGAGGGGAAAGACGACGAAAAGGACCGACTGGTGGAGTCCTTCCTGCACGACGCAGCGCCGCATGGCGTGCAGGTCCACGACTTTGTGGCCGTCGAAGCCCAGGTAATATTCATAAAAATAATAATAATCAATAATAATAATCACACCAAGCGGGACACCCACTCAACTGCTGCGTTCTATCTGCAGGGCCACCGTGAGCCGAAGGAGCAGGTGGAGAGGGCTGCCACCGATATTGCTACCATCATGTACACGTCCGGCACCACCGGCAAACCCAAGGTGCGCTTGCCCGAGCTGAAGCGTGTGGCATGGCGTGTGTGGCGTGTGCTGTGCGGCGTGTGCGCTAATCCTCGCACACAGGGCGCGATGATGGAAGACAACAGGTGGAACCGGTTCGTGACCAAGCCCTACCTGATGCCCACGCCCTCGGTCACGCTGTCCCACGGACCACTGGCGCACGTCCAGGAGCGCCAGAACTTCTACATCACCATGTGCGTCGGCGGCCGGATCGCCTTCTTCGACCAGGTATGATGATGATCAACTACATCCAGCGTCGTCGTCGTTGTCGTCGTCAGTTACCATTCATGTCCAAGCCTAATGCGTGATATGTGCTTGGTGCGTGATGAAGGACATGAGCCAGCTGTTGAACGAAGCGCAACTGGTGCGACCGACGCTGTTCAGCGCCGTGCCTCGCATTTGGAATTTCATACATTCAGGTACGCCCACCGCATAATGGTCATTCCAAGCAGCATACGACTGACCAGCATCGACGCTACCTTGCAGAGTACCAGAAGGCCCTGGACATCGCTGTACAGTTCGCAGAAAGCCAAGTACTGTCCCTCCTTCATCACGATTGATATGTGTGTGCGGTGTGTGTGGTGTGTGCGGTGTATGCTCACGATGTAATGATCGCCAGCCTCGGGAGGAGATCGAAGCGCAGGTGCTGGCGCGGTTCCGCGGCTGCCTGGGCGGTCGGCTCGAGTACATCGTGACCGGCGGCGCGGCCACCTCACCCCACATCATCGGCTTCCTCGAAAGGTATGCGCCAGCCAGCCGGCCAGCTAGCCCACACGCGTCGACGCACAAATTGCTCAAGGCCCGTGAGCGCAGGTGCTTCCAGTGTCGGGTGTGGAACGGGTACGGCACCACTGAGACCGGTGGCATCTCCAACGACAACGTCATCAACTCCAGCGTCGCTGTACGCCTGCCTCCCAATTCAATCCCCGCGCGTTGTGTCGTGAGTGTCAGGCGTGCCGTGTGTGTGTGTGTGTGTGTGTGTGTGTGTCGCGTGTAGTGTGTGTGTGTGTGTGTGCGGTGTGGTGTCGCACGGTGCATAGTGTGTCGTGTTTGGCTGAGAGAGTTTGAGTTCGCCGCTGCGTTAGGTGCGTTTGATCGACGTTCCCGACCTGGGCTACACGACGAAGGACCAGCCCAATCCGCGAGGCGAGATCTGCGCCATGACCGACGACATCATCAAGGGCTACTACAAGGACGAAAAGGCCACGTACGTCGGCCACATATGATGAGCCCCAGGACATGACGCCCCCAAGGACCTCAGTGACTGAGACCGGTCGTCCTTGCTGTTGTGACGGCTGTTGTGATTTGTGGGTACAGGAGCGAGAGCTTCGACGACGGGTGGTTCCGCACCGGCGACATCGGCGAGCAGCTGCCCACGGGCCAAGTGGTCATCATCGACCGCAAGAAAAACATATTCAAGCTCTCCCAGGGCGAGTTCGTCGTGTGCGTTTTTTTCCTCACCGTTTCGCATGACCACCACTACGCATGAATCGCTCACACTCACCAGCCGGCCGGCCCAATCTCTCGCAGGCCCGAGAAGCTCGAGAACGCGTACATCGAGAGCGAGTTCATCGACCAGGTCTACGTGCACGGTGGTCACACGCGGACCTACCTGGTACTCTTACTGAGCTCTTCCCGCCCACTTTGTGCGCGCTTTCATTTCTTGCGTTGATCAATGATCTTCAAACAATATCTATTGATTTTTGTGATCGATTAGGTGGCGGTGGTGGTACCGAACCGCGGGGTGCTGCACAATTGGCTCAATGGCAGCGCTGCGCCCGAGGCCAAGGTGCTCGCTCGTTCGCTCCCTTGTGTGTGTGTGTGTGTGTGTGTGTGTGTGTGTGTGTGTGTGTGTGTGTGTGTGTGTCGTGTGCGAAAGGTGTGAATGTTAACGCGCGCCAGCAACAGGACGACATCAACCATCCGCTCGTCAAGTCCAAACTACTGGAGGAGATGCAGCGCATCGCCACCAGGCTCAATGTACGGTGCACCCTACATCACCGCGCCCATGGCAGACTCCATCACTCAATGCCTCGTCATCTCATTTTTTTACAGTTTGCGTCGTTCGAGGTGCCGCGCGCGATCTACGTCGACGCGCAGCGGTTCACCGCAGAGAACTGCCTACTCACCGCCTCGCTCAAGCTGTGCCGGGGCAAGCTCGAAAAGCGCTACCAAGCCGTACGTACCGCGCAGTGCATTCCGCGCATATTTGTTCATATCAGAACGTAATATTGATTTTTTTGCATTCCAGGAGCTGGCGAGCATGTACGACGGGGCGGAGGAGGCCAAGGAGGACCAGGTCATCGGCCTTTTGTCGTCCGCGCTGGCCGGCGAGCCCATCAGCGACCATCTCCAGTCCATGACCCTGTACCTCACCCACCACACACACACACCACTCTATGCGCCACGTCATCGTCACACTGGTGGTTGGTGTCTCACCGACCACACAACGTTGCACAAATCGTGATCGTACTACCACGACAGTGCGCAGCTGGGGCTGGACAGTTTGTCGACCGTCAACCTGGTGTCGCTGGTGCGGGAGCGGTTCGGGCGCGACATGCCCCTCGCGTGCTCTTCGCCTCGCCTACGATCCGCGATCTCGTCGGCTTTCTGCGCACCGGCCACATCGGCAGCAGCAGCGCGACCGACATCGGCCACGGCAGCGGCCGCAGCGACGAGCCGCACCCGGCTTGGGACGACCTCCAGCCCGACGCTCACCTCCTTCAGCTCGGCGACGCCACACAAGGTTCGTCGTGTGTCGTGTGTCGTGTGTGTCGTGTGTGTCGTGTGTGTGTCGTGTGTGTGTCGTGTGTGTCGTGTTGTGGGTGACACTTGTGGGTGGTGCGCGGCAGGGGTGGAAGGCGAAGCCGAGGAATCGGGCCGGGAGGCGTTGCTCACCGGCGTCACGGGCTTCCTGGGCGTGCACCTCCTCCAAGCGCTGCTCCCGCACTACGCCCGCGTTCACTGCCTCGTTCGCTGCTCCGACGCATCGGTTCGTCCACCCACCCACTCTCTCACTACCTAGTGCGATGGCTGAGTCGTGCGGTGTGTGCGGTATGCATGTGCGGTGTGTGCGGTGTGTGCGTGTGCGGTCGTGCAGGATGGAAGGAAGCGGCTGGAGCGGGTGCTGGCTGAGCACTCGGTGGAGGGCATCGACGCGGCGCTGCTAGACTCGCGCGTGGTGGTGTGGCCGGCCGACCTCGCACTCCCCTCGCTCGGACTCGCGCCCGGCGCCTTCGACTCGCTCGCCGGGTCGGTGTCGGCCATCTACCACTGCGGCGCCGTAGTCAACTGGCTGCACCCCTACGAGACACTGCGCGCGCCCAACGTCCTCGGCACCCTCGCACTGCTCCAGCTCTGTACGCACACGCACACGCGCACCGCACACACCGCACACACCGCACACGCGCAGGCGCGTACGATGGGCTGACGATGGGTTTTTGTGGCGGCAGGCACGACGGGGAGGGCCGGGAAGCGATTTCACCACATCTCGACGATCGGTGTGGCCGATGCACAGGGCGACGAGGACTCAATGTGGCCGGCCGAGTGGCTCTCGGCTCTCTCCGGATACAGCCTCAGCAAAGTACTACGCAACACACACACGCCACCGCACACGCACCAACGCACGAACGCACACGCACCACCGCACACGCACGCGCGTGCCTAAGCTTCAATGGGTCGGGTGGCAGTGGGTGGCGGAGCACTTTGTGCGCCAGGCAGCGGCCCGGGGCGTCGATGTGCGCATCTACCGGCCGGGCATGGTGGCCCCGCACACGCGCACCGGGGCCTCCAACCCCGACGACTACCTCAACCGGTGAAGTACCCACACTCCACTTCCAGGCGCTCCTTTGCACCACTGCGCTCCACCTCACCTTGGTGTCCGGCGTGTGTCGTGCGCCGTGCGTGTCGTGCGCGTTGTGTGTCGTGTTCAGATATATGGTAGGAGTGGTTGGCCTGGGTGCCTACATCGAGGCCGATGGATTCTTCGACATCACACCCGTCGTACGGCCTCTGTCTGATGATTCCTCTTTTGGTTGACGGAACTGAGCACGCACACACGCACGCCGCACACACACACGCACGCACGCACCGCACACACACGCACAGGACTACGTGGCCGCGGCGATCGTGGCGCTCGGGGAGGCGTCGTACGGCGCAGCGGGCGGCGGCTCCCAGCCCGCGGGCCTCGTGCCGAGCTACCACCTGACCAACCCGCGGAGCAGCACCTACGCCCAGCTGGGCCAGTACATCGCCGACGCAGTCGCTTCCCTGGCGCTGCCGCCACCGCCGCCCGCAGGCGACAGCCCAGTCACGATCCGGGGCGCGTCCTACGACCAGTGGCGCGCTGCCCTCCTCCGCTCGATCCGCCAGCGAAAGGAGGGTACGTGGTGTGCTCATCAGTAAGGAGGAATGTGTGTGTGTGGAATGTTAATGCTCAACATTCCACGCGACGACCTGCAGGGAATGTGTTGTACGGTCTGCTGCCCTACTTCTCGGAGTCGTTCGGGGAACAGCTCCAGCGCCAGACCCGACCTTTCCCGTGCGAGAAGACCCTCCAGGTAGGAAAACCGCCCGCCCCCCTATGTTGTACCTTTTGCGTTGATCTTTGTGGTCCAATAACACGCAACACGCAACACGCAACACAAGGTTGTGGCTGGCTTGGGCGAGGAGTGTCCGCCAGTCACGCGAGAGCTGGTGGCCCACTTCCTGGCTTCGCTTCACCGACGAGGCCTCCTCCCGTCCACTGCTGGCGCCTACCTCGCCTCTCCGCCGCAGCCATGATGCTCGGTTGGCGCTAGAAGCTGAAACGTTTGGAAAGCAATTTCAAATTTTGCTGGCGTTTAAGTTAAACTTTCAGTTTAGTTTAGTTTCTCCTCGTTCTCTTCTTCACGCGCCGCACCAACAAAGACCATCATCATGCCCGCTTGGTCGATCATTACTCCGTGGGGCCTCGCCCTGGGCGGCCTCACCCTCGCCTACGCCAACCTGCTCGTCTTCCGCATCGACCCGATGGGTCCCAAGGGCATCTCCAAGCAGGCCAAGGCACTGGCCCTCATCATGCCGGTTGGCACCTTCATCGCCAGCGCCGCCGGCCTCGCCCTTCTGAACTGGCGCGCACGGGGCTCGACCCTGCAGGCCCTGCTGCTCGTCCTGCCGGTGCTCATCGCCATCCACGCCATCATGAAGACGCCGCCGTCGGGCGACCCCAGGGAGTGGCCTTCCGAGAAGGTGAAGAAGTTCAACTCGCACTGGCTGTGGTGGTGAAGTGTCCGACAGCAAACAAAGAGAAAATAAAAGAACGTCGCCTACGTTCACAACAAACTTCACAAAAATGTTCTTATTATCTCTCTTCTCACGCGCCAAACAGGCCTGGCTCCACACTGAAGTCCCACAAGTAGACCTGGCTGAGTATTGTGATTGTCGTTGGTCGCGTCGGTTGTGTGTGTTGTGTGTGTGTGTGTGTGTTGTGTGTCTGGTGTGAGTTATGTTGTTGCGAGAGGCAGGAGACAGTCATCAGCACTATTGCCAACGTCACGTACTGTCTAGGAGAGCACTCGAGGAGACTGGGACCACAGTAGCGCAAGGTGTTTGGAGGCCCCCAGTAGGCCTGCGGGTATGTGGTGGCGGCCCCGCTCTGGCGGTCGACCACAACCACCCCGGAATCCGTTTCCAGAACGTACTTCCTCCGGTCGAACTGCGCTGCGTAGGGCGCCCGCACTGTATTTGTGTTTGGGTTTGGGTTTGGGTTTGTGTTTGGGTTTGGGTTTGGGTTTGGGTTTGGGTTTGGGTTTGGGTTGACCATACTACGAGTTGAATGACGCTGGATATGTTGAAGGAGGCGCTCGTTCTCGTCCTTGTCCTGGATCATCACTCCTCCCGCCGTCTTCCACCTGGTGACGGTGACGGTGACGGTGACGGTGACGGTGACGGTGACGGTGACGGTGACGGTGACGGTGACGGTGACGGTGATACCACGTTGATTTTAGATCAATTCAACATCATCATGTGCGGGGGGGGGAAGCTGAACACACTTTTGAATGGCGACCCGTTCACAGCACGTGCTGAAGGTCAACAGCTCGCCGTCGTGGTAGGCGACCACATTAAACCGCATACCTGTGTGACAAGCGCAAGGCATCAGGGTCCCCTCCAGTCACAGGACAAAGGGTCGGTGAGGCTGTTAAAAAAACGCACCAGGGCCGCTTGTGAGGAATTGGTGCGCACACGGGGGCTCGCTGATCTTGCGCAGGTCCCACACGGCCACCGTCTGCGGGTCCGCCAGCACGAGCTCGTGCGGGTGCTGGTACCCGCCGTGGGCGAACAACAGCAGCGACTCCCTGTCCATCCTCCACAAGGCCTGCACACGACATGGTTTGATGGTCGATAAAAAAAACAAATCAGTCTTGCACGCTCGCACACACCACCGCACCACCGCACACGCACACGCTCCACCACACGCACACACCGCACGCATGCGCACACGCACCTGGAAAGTGTGGAGACCGGTGCGCAGGTCTACGCCAAGGATGCCACTGGCCGTGGCCACGTACGCGGTTTGGTTGTTGTGGGGGATCGACCGTGAAGAGCCTGCCGGGCTCGGCCTCGCGGTGAGGCTCGCTCATCGTGAGTTCCATAATGCTCTCCACATGCCCCAGTCGTGAGACGTCGATCAGCTCCTGCTCTCCCCACGCGCGGCACACCATGCAACGTCAAATCATGCAAGCGCACACAACGCACAACGCACAACACACGACACACGACACGACACACGACACGCGGCACATGACACGCACGCACACACATCACCCGTTTTCAGGCGGACGTGCCGCACCAATCGAGTATTGTTGAGGAGGTAGAGGCACTCGTCGCTCGGCCACACCATGTCGTTGCACACAATGCCCGGCAGGTGCGCAGCTGCAGTGGTTGGGGTGGTGTTGGGTTGGACCGTGATGCCAGAAGTGCCCCCAATCTCTCTCTCTCTGTGGTGCGTGTGTGTGTGTGTGTGTGTGTGTGTGTGTGTGTGTGTGTGTGTGTGTGTGTGTGTGTGTGTGTGTGTGATGTGCGCACTTCCGCCGGTGGAGCCGAGATAGAAGGAAAGGCCCGACGTGGTGGCATGGCTGGCCATGCCCGGTCGCACTGCAGCCACGGCCTGCTTGTTGGCGCCCTCCTTGGTCCTGATCCGTCCGCTGTCGTCTGCGCACGGCCACACGCCATCGCGGCGCACGCCAGTGATGAGACTCGCCCCACCCCAGAGCAGTTGGTGCATGCACGAGGTGAGAGATCTCCAGTACGGCTACGGAAAAGCTCGGTTCGTTCGCCACTTGTCCAGCGCTGGTGCGGTCGTCGCGTGTGGTAGATCAGCTCCTGCCGCCACTCGATCACGTTGCCGCACTCATCGTAGTCCTCCTCCTCCGTCCTTCGTCGCCAGCTGCTCGTCTCCTTGCTCTACAAATAAAATAAAATAAAATAAAATCAAGAAAAATGAATATTTGTATTTTCAATTATTAATTATTTGATCAAAGAGGGACGTACGGTCGTGGCGGACCTCGTCGCCCAGGTTGTCCCACCAGAGGAGGTCGTTGCCGCAGTCGTTGGCGTCAGCGGGCGGGGCGTGGCCGCGGGCAAGGGCGGCCAGTGGCGTATAGCCACAGTGGGCGAGGAAGAAGGGGCGCCAGAGCGGGCGGTAGGTGGCCACGCCGTGCCACCGGTGGCTCACCAGCGCCGCCGCACACAACCACTCGGCCCGCACGCCCACGAACCTGCGCCCCCCCCCACCACAACCACCCATCGTCACGCCGGGGCGGGGCTCCAAAACGTAGAGCGTCAGTTGGGGGGGTCGTTTGTAGAAGTACTTGAAGATTCGAACGAGAAGCTCGTCGGGCAGCACCGCGGTGGCGTCGTCCTCCATCAAAGTAAGCAAGGCTATGGTGGGTCATTAAAACAACAAGTAGTATGATAAACATGTTCTTCAGTGAAGCAAAACTGGAACTGCAACGCTAGCAACACTTCTTGTTGGGCGCAACGCCAGGCAGCGCCGTCTTGCCGCCCATCAGGTGCCGATCGATCTCCGCCGCCGCACCTCGCCCCTCTGCGAACGGAAGAAGAAAGGACTCACATGAGCCAAGGAACCGCACCCACACCAAGAAAGAACGAAAAGAAAAAGAACGAATGCGGCGGTGATTTACCGTTGATGGCCCACACGATGAGGCTCTGGCCGCGTCGGCAGTCGCCGGCGGCGAACACGCCCGGTACGGAGGTGTGGAAGGCCCCGTAGGCGGCCTTGAAGTTGCCCCGCGCGTCGAACTCTGGCTTGCAAGCCTCACCATCATCATCGCCGGTAGTAGTGGAGTCCACGACGGCCTTCTCGGGCCCCACGAAGCCCATGGCCAGCAGCACGAGGTCGGCCTTGAGCACCTGCTCGCTGCCGGCCACCTCGCACATTACCCACCGACCGCTGCCGGCCTCCTTGTCCCACCGGACCTGCACGGTCCTGACCCCGGCCACGCGTGTCCCGGTGGCCTCGTCGGCCACGAAGGCCTTGGTCGAGGTCAGGTGCGTGCGCGGGTCGCCGCCGCCGCCGCTGGCGTTGATCGCGGCGGCCTCCTCGTGGCCGTAGTCGACCTTGAACACGCGGGGCCACTGCGGCCACGGGTTGTCGTCGGCCCGGTCGTTGGGCGGCCGCGGCATGATCTCGAGGTTGGTCACCGACGCGCAGCCCTGGCGCAGCGACGTGCCGATGCAGTCCGTGCCCGTGTCTCCACCGCCGATCACCACCACATGGCGGCCCCTGGCGTCGATCGTGGACCGCTGCTTCTCATCGGCCAGCAGGGCGCGGGTCGAGGCGGTGAGGTACTCCATGGCCTGGTGGATGCCCTGCAGCTGACGGCCGGGCGTCGAGAGGAGGTCGCGCGCGGCGGTGGCGCCGCAGGCCAGCAGCACGGCGTCGAACTGGGCGCGCAGCTGGCCCAGGGACACGGCGCCCGGCTGGCCCACGCTTACGCCCGTGACGAACTTGACGCCCTCCTGCTCCATCAACCGCAGGCGACGCTCCACCACCTGCCGCTTGTCGATCTTCATGTTGGGAATGCCGTACATGAGCAGGCCGCCGGGTCGATCGGCTCGCTCGTAGACGGTCACGAGGTAGCCCGCCTTGTTGAGCTGATCGGCGGCCGCCAGTCCCGCCGGACCGCTCCCGATCACCGCCTGGTGTGGACGTCAGCTACACCAATCAGAAAAAAGGATAATAATAGAATGAAGGAAGTTGTACGCACCACCGATTTGCCGGTTCGCACGAGGGGCGGGCATGGCACGACCCAACCCTCCTGCCACGCGCGATCGATGATGCTCTGTGTGACATTTCCGTCGATTGTTTCATGTTAGTTGTGATCGCCTTGTTGTGTGTGTGTGTGTGTGTGTCACGTACGTGTTCGAGATCCTTGATCGTGACTGCGGACGAGTTGATTCCCAGCACACAGGCGCCCTATGGGGAAGGAAGACCAGTGTGAACGATGCTCCATGGGAGGAATGCAAGGAATTCACTGGCAGGAGAGGTACCTCGCAGGGAGCGGGACAGGCGCGGCCGGTGAACTCGGGGAAGTTGTTGGTCTTGCTGAGGACTCGGTACGCCTCCTCCCACTTGTCCGCGTACACCAGCGCATTGAAGTCCGGGATCAGGTTCGAGATCGGACAGCCTACACTCAACCCGTGGAGTTGCCCATCAGCAATCACACACGACACACGACACACGACACACGACACACGACACACGACACACGACACACGTACAGGCAAGCCGGTGTGGGAAGCGTACCAGTCTCGGATTGGCAGAAGGGAACGCCGCAGTCCATGCAACGCGCGGCCTGCGTCTTTTTCTCCTCCTCGTGCACGGGTCCATCGGCGTCGGCGTGCGCCACAAAGATCTCGCCAAAGTCGCTGACCCGCTCCTTGGTCGGCCGGAGCGCGTGCTTCTTGCGCGGATACCGCATGAAGCCGCGGATCTTGGCCTCGGTGCCCGTGGGAACCACGTTCTTGTACTTTTCGATCATATCTTCGATGTCGCCCACCTTCTTGTGCTGCTGGTCCACCAGTTCGTTCCTGACAGCGCACCGTCATAAGAATCAGCGATTGTGCGTTGTGCGTGCGGTTGTGTGCGTGCGCGGTTGTGAAATGTACTTGGGCTGTTGGGCGGGTGTGGGCGGCTTCTGGACACTGGCGAGACCGCCTTCCCAGCGGCGCTCCTCCATCACACGCCGGTAGTCGTTCGGGTACACCTTGATGAACTCACCAACCGCCTAGGAGCAGTACCAGCACAGCTATGAGTATTCGGCATCGCACGCGCACATGACACACGGCACACACGGCACACACACGATAATACCAAGCCTCTATACAGCACGCACTCAATGACGAACAACACGACCCCGTCGAAGCCACTAAAAACAAAAGAGCGTACCTCGGGCCACCTGCCCAAGAGCTCGGCGGCTACGCGGGATCCGGTGTAGTCGGCGTGCTGCTGGATGAGCGCCCGCACCTGCTCCGCGTCGGCTGGCTCGACTTCGTTCAGCTTGTAGAGCGACACCATCTCCATGTTGCACTGGCGCCGGAAGTCCGCCTCGCGGTCCTGATCGCCACCGCCGGTGGGGCACCACACGTAGGCCAGCCCGCCGGTCATGCCGGCGGCGAAGTTCTTGCCCACCTTGCCCAGCACCACGCAGATACCGCCGGTCATGTACTCGCAGCAGTGGTCGCCGGCGCCCTCGATTACGGCCACGGCGCCCGAGTTGCGCACGCCGAAGCGCTGCGCGGCGCGGCCATGCAGGAAGAGGCGGCCGGACGTGGCGCCGTACAGGCAAGCGTTGCCGGCGGTGACGCCCATCATGGCCTCGCCGTGGCCGCGGATCACCAGGGTGCCGCCGGAGAGGCCCTTGCCCACGTAGTCGTTGGCGTCGCCCACCACCTCCATCCGCACGCCCGACGCCAGGAACGCGCCGAAGCTCTGGCCCGCGCTGCCGCGCAGGCTCACCGCCACCTCCTGGCCCTATGACGTGGCATTACGTGTCAGCCTTCTTTTAGTGAAGAATGCATGGAATGTGAAGGAATGTGCATACGTGCGGCAGGCCGTCGGGTCCGAAGAGTCGGGAGACGTGGTAGCTGGCCGTGGCGCCCACGCTCCGCGACGTGTTCTCCACGTTGAGGTCGATGGCAATGGGCTCCTTCGTAGTGTTGGGGTCGGAGCTCGCCACCTTGTCCAGCGAGGCGGTGATCGCGGCGTCGACGTGGTCCGCCGGTCGCGACTTGTTCGACGGCTTGAAGCGGATGCCGGCCCCCGGGCGCAGGGTGGCCGCGTCGGCGAGAAGCGGAGAGAGGTCGAGTCCCAGGTCGGCCACGCGGGCTTCATTCTCGCCGGACACCTCCAACATGTCCGTACGACCTTCACATTCCCGAGGTAGTGGGGTAAACCAAACGTTGGTCAGCCCATCCACCAATCTGCACAACCGTGTTTGGTGGTGCGCGCGTGTGTGCGTGTGCGTGTTGCATGTGCGTGTGCATAACTAGTTGTGTGTACCAATCATCTCGTCCATGGTGCGGAAACCCATGGCTGCCATGTAATTCCTCACCTCTTCGGCCTGCACGACGGAAGGTCGAGGCGGTGGTTGGTGGCGAAAGATCAGTCAGTCAGCCGGGCGGGAAAAAGGCCAACGGCGCAGCGGTTCGGTTGAACGTACGATGAGGAAGAAGAAATTGAGGACGTGCTCGGGCTGGCCCTTGAACTTGGCCCGCAGTACCGGGTCTTGCGTGGCAATGCCCACCGGGCACGTATTGAGATGGCACTGCGGACGACCACATCGTGGTCAGTCAGGGCGCTCACAATCACGCATGTCTGGTGCGGTGGGTAGCGTGTACCTTGCGCATCATGATACAGCCGAGCACGATGAGCGGCACGGTACCGAAGCCGAACTCTTCGGCTCCAAGCAGAGCGCCCACGACGACGTCGAACGCCGTTCGTATGCCGCCGTCGACGTGCAGCACCACGCGGTCGCGCAGGCCGCTCATCACCAGGCACTGCTGCGCTTCCGACAGGCCCAGCTCCCACGGCAGGCCGGCGTACTTGATGCCGGTCCAGCGGGAAGCGCCGGTGCCGCCATCATGGCCGGAGATGACGATATGATCTGTTGGGTGGCGGCCACAATGTGAGTGTGAGCATGAAATGTGGAGAAAATATGTGAGAAAAGGGACGTAGGCTGCATACCGGCATGAGCTTTGGCGACGCCCGCGGCCACCACCCCGACGCCGACCTGCGACACCAGCTTGACGCTCACCGTCGCGCGAATATTGGCACTGGGTAAAAAGAAGAATAATAATTCTTAGACACACAAGCAGCAAGAATGCAAAGAATGGTTGTTGGTTGTGTACCAGTGGAGGTCGTGGATGAGCTGCGCCAGATCCTCGATGGAGTAGATGTCGTGGTGGGGCGGCGGTGAAATGAGGCCCACGCCAGCCACGGAATGACGCGTCCGGCCGATCTCCTCGCTCACCTTGGGGCCGGGCAGCTCGCCGCCCTCGCCGGGCTTGGCGCCCTGGGCCATCTTAATCTGCAGCTGGTCCGCGTGCAGCAGGTAGTAGGAGGTCACGCCGAACCGGGCCGAGGCCACTGCTTGATGGCCGAGCGCTTGGAGTCGCCGTTGGCCAGCGGCTGGAACCGCTCGTAGTCCTCGCCGCCCTCGCCCGAGTTGGAGCGACCGCCGGCGCGGTTCATCGCCACAGCCAGGGTCTCGTGCGTTTCCTTGGAGATGGAGCCGTACGACATTGCGCCCGTGCAGAATCGTTTCTGTTGTCCCAAACAATCTTAGATTTCGGTGTCGTCGTTGGTTGTGTTGTGTCGTTGGTCGTGTGTCGTGTCGTGTCGTGAACGTACTACAATAGCTGCGGCGGGCTCGACTTCATCGATGGGAATGGGGGAGCCAGCGCGGAAGGAGAAGAGGCCCCGCAGCATGCATCGCCTGGTGTTGGCGTCGGCCAGCTCCGAGTAGCTTCGGAACGCCTCCTTGCTGTTGGTCCGCGTAGCTTCCTGCAGCTTCGCCATCGCACTGCCTCGGGCGACACACAAACCAAGCCGCAAGAAAATATTAGGTCCACGCATCGACCTTGTGTGTGTGTGTGTGTCGACGACGACGATGACGTACGTTGGGTCGTGGGCGTGCGCCTCGCCCTCGGCGCGCCAGTGGTACTGACCCGCATTGGGCAGCGTCTTGAGCGCACCAGCTCCGTAGCCCTTTTCGTGCCACCCGCGCAGCGTCGCGTCGAAATGGCGGAAGGACAGACCTGGTAGCCACCAACCACCGGTTACGGTGTGAGAATGCTATGAATATTGTCGACAACATTCATAGCAGGCCAACAGAAAAGATGACTGTACCGGAGAGGCGAGAGGAGACGCCCTCGAAGCAGGTCTTGACCACGTCGCGGCCCAGACCCACGGCTTCGAATACCTGGGCGCCCTTGTAGCTGGCCAGCGTGGAGATGCCCATCTTGGCCATCACCTTCAGTATGCCCTTGTCGACGGCCGACCTGTACTTGCCGATGGCCGGGCACGGCGTGAGCAGGTCCTTCTTGAGCTGCGACTGCGGCTGCTGAGGCGATGACGACGCCGTCAACTCCTTCTCCTTCTCGCCGTCGTGCTGGAGCTCGTCGCCGAGAGCGATGAAGCATCGGTAGACCATATAGGGATACACGGCGTCGGCGCCGAACCCGACCAGCAGGCAGAGGTCGTGCACGTCCCGTGGGTCGGCCGAGGCAACCACCAGCGCACACTTGCACCGGAGCTGCCGCTTGATCAGGTGGTGATGCACAGCGCCCGTCGCCCTGCATTTGCGCGAGGAGGGCACGTGTAGGCCGTGTGCGTGTGCGTGTCAGCGTGCACGCTTACACGCTGAGGGCCGGACATGCACGTACATCAAGGCGGGCACCGCCAGCGCATTGGCGCCTGCGGAGACGTCGGAGAGGATGAGGAAGTGGGCACCCTGGGCGACGGCCTCCTCGGCCTTTTCGCACAGCGCCTCGATCGCTTCGTCCAGGCGTTGGTCGAGTGGGTATGTAATGTCGACCACCTGCGCAGTGCGTTTAGTATTGGAATGAGTATTGTGATGACGGAGGCGCAGCACATGTGCGAGGACGTACGCTGGTGGTCCACCCCAATCCAGGGTTGGTCTGCGGCAGGGCAGCGATGGCGAGGAACTCCGGCGTGGTGAGCGTGGGCGACTGGATCTGCAACCGGTGGCAGTGACCCTCCTCAGGTACGAGCACATTACCCTCAGGACCTGCATCAACATGACAGAAATTGTGTTAACGTGTTGTGTCGTGTGTGTGTGTGGCGTGAGTGGCGCACCAATGAAGGTGTTGAGGGCCATGACGACGGTCTCGCGGATGGGGTCGATGGGCGGGTTGGTCACCTGCGCGAAGAGCTGCTTGAAGAATTCCGACACGCGCCTGCCGGTTTTAGATAGGCACGCCAGGGCTTCGTCGTTGCCCATCGAGCCCAGGGCCTCTACGCCGCTCTTGCCCATGGGCGTGAGCAGCATGTTGATCTGCTCGGCGGTGTAGTGAAAGGCCTTGAGCTGCGGGTCGGCCTGCAGCGCGGCTTCGCCCTCCTCGATGGGCGCCAGCAGCGGGGCCAGGGCCTGCAGCTGCGGCGCGGTGAGGAGACGCTCAGCCGCGACACGGTCGGTGGTGGCCTGGCCTGACAGCAGCTTGAGGTCGCGGTCGAGTGCGACCTTCTGCCGGGCGAGCCACTGCGCGTAGGGCTGTGCGGTGGCGATCGAGCGCTTGAAGTCGCGGTCCCTGATGATGCGCTTCTGCTCGAAATCGATCAGGAAAAACTTGCCCGGCTTCAACCGGGTCTTCTTGGCTATGTTGTCGGCGTCGACCGGAAGCAGCCCGACCTGTATAAGGCGGAGGGGTTGGTGAGCAGCATTCCAACGAGTTGCGTTCCAAGCATTCCACAGCTGCAAACAAAGGAATGCAAAGCGTGCGTACCTCGGAGGCCAGAATGACGCGACCGTCCTTCAACTCCAGGATGCGGGCCGGTCGCAGGCCGTTGCGGTCCAGGACGGCACCGGCGAAGCGCGCGTCGGTGAAGGCCAGCAGCGCGGGGCCGTCCCACGGCTCCTGGACCGAGCTGTGGTATTCGTAGAAGGCCCTGCGGTCACGGTCCATCAGCTCGTCCTTCTCCCAGGTCTCGGGCACCATCGTGGCCAGGGCCTCGGGCAGCGAGCGCGAGCTGGTGATCGAGTAGAACTGGAGCGCGTTGTCGAGCATGCCAGAGTCGGACCCGGTCTCGTCAATGACGGGGTACAGCGACTCGAGCTGTGCCGGCTCGGGGAACAGCGGAGTGTGCATCACGCCCTGCCGAGCGCGCATGCGGTTGATGTTGCCTCTGCGCGTACGCCACGGAAGAAGAAGAGTCGGTGAGATGATGAGGTGGCGGCAGTTGTGTGGGCAGGCAGAGGTTGCGCTTACCTGAGCGTGTTGATTTCGCCATTGTGGCAGAGCACACGATAGGGCTGCGCACGAGCCCAGCTGGGGAAGGTGTTGGTGCTGAACCTAAGGAGGCGCAGAAGTCAGGCGAAACGCAGAGACACGCGAGCCGGAGACAACAAACGCACGACACACACACAACACGAAAAGTGTGCGTGGGAAGGGCGGTAGAGCGAACCTCGCATGAACGAGCGCGACGTGCGATTGAACGCGTGGGTCGCGGAGGTCGGGGTAGAAGGTGCCCAGCTGGCCGCAGTCTACGAGGCCCTTGTAGACCACCGTACGGCTGGACAGACTGCACAGGTAGCCCTTGAACGTTCCCGCACCATCTACGCACACATTTATTCAATGAATTGAAATCGTGTGTACTGCAATCGATTTTACCAGCTCGAGAACAACATAGGAGGAGAAAGTACCTTGCGGGGGCGACCCAGTGTCGGGTCCATCTTCGGTCGTTCGTTTGCCCAGCTTTTCGATTTCTTTGGTGAGGATGTACAGCTTGCGCTCGAATTCTGCTGGATTCGTGCTCGTTGGCTGCAGCCCGCCACCATCCTCGGTGTGCGTGACGAAGAATTGCCACACGCTGGGCGCGTTGTGCTTGGCAGGCCCCTGGCCCAGCGCCTTCGCGGCGTCGACTGGCACCCGACGCCACCCGAGCAGCCGGAGCTCCTCCTGGGCGGCGATCGCCCGCTCCACCAATCGCTGGGCTTGGCGTCGCTCGTCGTCCTTCCATGCCAGGAACATCATGCCCACCGCGTAGCCGCCCGGCTCGGGCAGCCGCTGCCGCGACCCCTCAGCCCACTCCACTTCACCATCTTCTTTTTCATCGCAACAGGCGCGAAGGAATTCGTGGGGCAGCGCGAGCATGATGCCCACGCCGTCTTCGGCGTTGTCGCAGCCCTTGGCCCCGCGGTGGGCCATGCGGCTCAGGGCCAGCAGGGCGTCGCTGACGATCGCGTGCGAGGCCTGCCCGCCGATGTGGGCCAGCAGCGCCACGCCGCAGCTGTCGCGCTCCATGTCGGGGCTCCACATTGTGGGCACCCGCGGGCGCGGGAAGCCGGTCACGAAGTCGTCGTTGGCCCCCCAGGTGTTGTTCGTCATGTCCTCCTTTTGTCGTGTGCGGTCACTGTAGAAGAAGGTGGGGAGGGTCAAGCCTAACCAAGCAGGGCCGCGTAGTGAAGATAAGGAGATAGGGAGGAGACGCCAAAAGTAATGGGAAAGAAATGGTGTTGAGTGCAGGAGACTGCTGGGAATGGTGTGGGTACCAGCACTTGGTCGTCATGATGGTTGCTTTGGGGAGGGGAGGGAGGAGTAGTGGTGTGGTTGAGGTGGTGTACAGGAGAGGGAGATAAGATAGCGTGATGGTAGCTTTGGTGCTGACGGACAAGTGCGGGTGTTTGCAGGGAGCGGGGGAGTTACGGCAAGTGAGTTATGCGGAGAACAAGGTCAGCAAGGTCGACGTGCGCAGTGTGGGGCCGCAGACAGGTGCAGACATCACAGTGCTCAAGTCCCTGCCACCCACCATGGAGCAAATCCCAAGTGGTCCTCTTGTCCTAGCGTCCTCTTCGTGTGCGGTTGGGAGGGGTGGGCTCTCCAGCCTGCCGGAACATCTGCGCTCCTCAACGTTGTTTGCCGGAAGGGCGCAGTTCGCTTACGCAACCAATGAAAATTCGGAGCTCCGGTGTCAAGATTTCCGGCAATTCTCCGCAATACCTAATGATAAATGAACAGACGGTTGACAATTCTGAAAAGGTAAGGTAAGTTGTTCCTCGGCATCAGCCATAACAATCCTGTTTTGCCAAGGTGAGCACGCCTCAAAACTGCAAATGTCAGCCCATAACCAAACGGACGGTTCAACGGCGACGGTAGACGTCGTAGAGCTTCTTGGAGCCGACGAGCACCGCCACGCCCACCAGCGCACCGGCGATGATCGTCA